TGAAGAAGCCTCTGACTGAAGACACTCTGTATGACAGTCTGATGAAGAGGGTGCTGAGGATTGTCTATAATGTTCTTCATTTTATCAAGAACCCTTCTTGATATAATGAAGGATGGATGAAAGAGAGACATTAGATTGGACAAAATCTTTAGCCAAGCTGAAAAAGTTTGTTTTTTGTACTCTGATTTGTTGTTAACATATACATTCCCACTACTTAGTGGCATAGCATGGGTATTTTAGTATTTTTGTTAAATTTGTAAGGATGGAAAAAGACTATTAAGCAGAGATCAAAGCCATCAGTTTACAAGTAGAGTATTGTGTAGACAGGCTTCAGATGAGGCTATGCAGTTGCTGACTGAGCGTTAACCCAACTGGTATCCCCATCTGCCATACTACCAGCACACCCTCAGTCAATGGGTCGTTGTGTGCATGTGCACATTTTAAAGCATTAATGCATAACTTCACATTAAAGTGTTCACAAATGCAAGTACCTTAGTGTCTGCGTGAAACTGACAAAACTGCCTCACACCTCTCTGATTTTATTCCTTGCCTCTTTCAGAAAAAAAAAGAATCTGCTAAAGGCAAAGGTTTTTACTAAGAGGATTAAAAAAAAACCACAAAGAGATGTTTGTTTCCTGCTAAGGGTATCTGATCATGTGGGTTACCAAGCGTGGTCAGGCTTGATAGCAGATAAAATACGGGGTGAATGGAGGGAATACGAACAAGAAGAATGGGAAAGAGCAAAAAACAAGACCTCTTTTCAGCACCTTATCACCTCTCATCAGTGGTTTTCTGCTAGAATGTACCCTTCTCCTCACCGTGTATAAGCGAGAAAATCCTCTGTGTATTATGCATAAGGGGATTATGAATGATTCATTTGGTACAAGTCTAGAAAAGCAAAGGCAAACTTTGTGGTTTTTATTTTATTTTTATCTTAGATGCATCAAAGTTGACAATGTAAGACCAAGCAACAAACTTTTCAATTGAAGTGTTTGCTGATTGCAGGTCAAATATTTAACCACAGCCTTTTTAGTGAATGTGAAAAGTTGAGTTGCTTAATAAGATTTTAGATCAGTGATTAAAAGCATTCCTAATGCAGAAGAAAAACATATCCACGGTTATGGCTATACTCATTACTCTCAGACAATCTTGTTCTGCGTGTTGTGTGTGCACACATGTGCACTGATGGTGTCTGCCTTCCTTTTGGGCCCAACAAAATCCATTTTGCAGATGATAAGTGGACTTGCTGAAAGTTATCCACCTTTGTTGCTATTCAGAGACTGACAGTGTGTGAGTTCGTGTGCACGGGGCGGTCTAGCTGCCGGACCGATTTACAACTCTTACCAGAGCTTGTCTTCCTAAATGAAATGTTTAGATAGAGCGTTTTGTAAACAGAGTCATTGGGGTCGAGTCCCGTGATAATAATTCAGCATGTAAAAGCCCTTAGGGGGAACATAAGTTTGTGTCCAGACTTGTACTATTACTAAAGAAGCTTTCTTTTGTAGCTGGTCTAGAAGCCAGTTTGCAAATATTGTTCAGGGAAATCACAGGATACAGATTTTCATCTTTTACACAGCTGATGAGTTCTTAATAAGCCATTATTTATGTGGAATTTATGTTTATCGGGCAGAGTGATGAGATTTAACCAGGGCCAGATTAACACTTTGCTGTACCCTGGGCAACAATCTTCAAGGGCCCCATCATCACGACCCCAGAATCACCATAATCTGGCAAAATACAGAATAAATTACCATAATATATAGTAAATATACTTAAAATTCTAACTATCCAGTGTATTTTTATGTATAAAACTCCAAATGCTCATTGACACAAATCATCAAGATTGAATTAAGTTGAACGCACTTTGAACACCACATGACACCATATATGTACTTGTTTAGTAACATGTTGACCACTGGTGTCAGAGCATTTATAATGTGTGTGTGTGGGGGGGGGGGGGGGGGGACACTTTGATGGGGGGGTCTGGGGGTCCTCCCCCAGAAAATTTAGAATAATGTAGATGCCATTTCCTGCATTCTGGTGTATTTTAACGGTTGTTTAAAATCTAGTTTTACCTACATAAGCAAACACTTGCAACGCCTTGGGATTCCCCTCGAGGAGCTGGTCCAAGTAGCTGGGGAGAGGGAAGTCTGGGCCTCCCTACTTAGGCTGCTACCCCCATGGATGGATGGAAGTAAACACTTGATTCAGTAAATATTTTAGAACTAATGGCACAACAAGAAGTAGCCTGACCAACAGCTGATTCAATAATTAAAAATATTCAAAGGTGACGATTTGATTCCCAAATTAAAATTAATATCTGTAACTTAGTTGACTTCAAATGCAACAAGATTATCAATGAATGTTTGTGACAAAGGATTTACTGAGTATAACAATGATTCCTTCAAGAAACCTCCCAATATAAATCATAAAACCATAATGATTTCTGCTCATTCTAAATTTGTCAAATGACCTAAATCTCCTAAAGTGAAGGATAATCATTTTAAAATAATAAATAAGATAAATCTTGTAGCCATGTTTCTGCAAAGAAGATTTAAATTTGATATTGATTTGTGTGTCTTGTAAATCAGAAGATGAATCCCTCTAGCATTTTTTTTTCATGTCAATACAAAGTGTTTGGTCAGACATCAGAAACTGGATTAATCTCAAGCTGTAAGGATGGTACCTTTCCGTGGCCCGGTTTGTTTCTGTGTTCCCTCGTGCTCCCTTAGTAGTTATATTAGTACCACCCGTGTCTCGTCCCAGCTGTTTGTAATCACGTCTCGTCTTGTCCCTGTATATAAGCCGTCTGTTCTGTCTTGTTCATTGTCGCGTCATACTCGTTGGGTATCCAGTGTTCTCCAGCGTCTCCTGAGTCTTCCCTGAGCTTCCCGAGTCCTTTCTGAGTTTCCCCGAGTCTTCTGTTTCATGTAAGCTTTGCTGCCCCGTCAGCTTGTTATTTTGTATCTTTATTTTACCACTAAATTCCTATTTTTGTATTCTGCCGAGTTGAGTCCGTGTTCTGCACTCTGGGTTCGCTCCCTGACCACAAATCCTAACACAAGCTTAACATTCCTTCTTTTCATGCTGATGCCATTTTACTTTATGTGGATAACTTAAGCTCAGCTTTCTCTGATGCCATAAATATAGTCATACTTATAGCAAAGTACCACATTCACTGTAGTAAGAGGAGGGATAATAAGCCTTCCTTCCTGTTTGATGATCAATTTTAAGCCATACTATTCTTCATTAAGTAGATTAAAAATCTGCAAAACTGCTAAAATCATCTCACAACAGATACAAACTTAATGTTTTAATTAAAACAATGTTTCTCAAGAAAAAAAAACGGATGAGCTTGTCAGCAGGTAAGGGGCGTTTACCTTCGGGACAAATTGAGGTTGTCGATTGGTCAGTTACTGACACGCCTTCTGAGTTGATTGACAGGTCGCGCCGTCGAGGATCCGATTGAAAAAAGAAAAAACCCGAGAGCTACAGCAGCCGCTCTGGGAGGAGGCGGGGCTGCTCAAATGCAGCGGAAGCGCAGGGCTCCAAGTAAAGCAGGAGATAACCAGATATTTTGCTTGTGCCCTCACTGCCCTGGGCCCCTTAGAGATCATGGGCCCATGGGCAGTTGCCCAGTTGCCCATATGGTTAATCTGGCCTTGGATTTAACACCAGGTTTACTCTGGGTCCTACGACAGAGCTTTAGGGCCACGCTAAGAAATAAAAAAATTACATTGCCACTCTAAGAAAAAAATAAAAAGCCATAAAATTACGAGAATAAAGTCCTAGTATTACGAGAATAAAGTCCTAGTATTACAAGAATTAAGTCGAATAAAGTCTTAAAATGAGAATAAAGTCGTACAAGACTTTTTTTTACAGCTTTCATTTATTTATTTATTTATTTATTCCCACAAGTCGGATCCATGACGTGACCTGTCATTCAATCCAGTAGGCATGTCAGCAAGTGACCAATCCGAAGCTAAATGCTTATTACCTGCAGAGAGATGTGCTGCAGCCCATCAGAGCGTACCACCTTACTGTAAGCAGGTAAGCTGTGCATTGTTAATTTTGTCCATAAACATTGTATAACAGCAAAGCTACATTCTGTCATTACGTTGCACAGTATGTAGGCCTTCTGATGGGCTGCAGCACAGCTCTCTGCAGGTAAGGAGCATTTAGCTTTGGATTGGTCATTTGTGACATGCCTACTGGATTGATTGACAGGTCGCGTCATGGATCCTACTCGTGGAAAATTAATTAAAATAAACAAGAGCTGTAAAAAGAAAAGTCTCGTATGACTTTATTGTTGAAACATTAAGACTTTATTTGAGTTTATTCTCGTAATACTAGGATTTGATTCTCGTAATTTTATGGCTTTTAATTTTTTTTTTTTTTTTTTGCGTGGCCCTAAAGCTCCATCGTAGGGTCCTTTTCCGCCAGGACTGTTATATTTTTGCGGGAATAACAAAGTAATGTTAACTTGGTAGCAGTGTAAAGGTGTGTAAAATAACATTTGCATATGCTACAGTGCTTAGACAGTTTTAGGATGGCAGCAATCCACTAGTTTGCCTAGTTTGGTCAAAATTAGGCTCTAAGGTCCCAAACTGAGGATGTTCAACAAGCTGAGGTAAAATGTATCAGTTGTTCGGAGCTTCACTTTAAACTGGCTGAGCGATGTCTTTAATAACGTTTTTTATTTTTAAAACTAGCAAGAATTTGTCATAAAAGGACAGTGTTTGCTTTTTGCTTGTATTAATGTGCCTCTGGTGTTTACTTTCCAGCCCTGTAATTCTTTTACAGCTTGGGAACAGCAGCTCACATTCTTCTTCATTTTCTTCACTGAACAAACCTCTCTGGATTTATTATGTTCGGATTATCATTTCTACCACAAATATGGGAATTTAGTTCCAACGTTTTCTGATCACTTGCGTCTCTTCCTCCCTCACGTCATCTTTTTTATTCATTTAATCATGTTTTGTGTGACTTTTCAGACTCACCCTCTGGAACAGTTCTTTCTATGACAGTGAAGTTTGCTGAAAAGCCTTCTTTGGCGATGGCGCTGTCTGTGTTGATTGTCAGTGCCAAAATGCCCGTATAGGAGATGATCCTGCCCGGAGTGTTCTGCCCGCAGTATCTTCCAACGTAAGACCCCACTGGAGAGAGACAAAAAGAGCATAAAGCACAAATATTGTTTCTTGGGCTAGACTTGGTCTAACTCAGTATTTGTTTGTCTGCACCAGCCATTTCACACATGGGTCTAACTACCAAGTCCCCCCTGTGAAAGTGTTAAAACTAGCCTTGTCATTGAGGTATGGGACCAACCCCATAAAGAGGCATAAGAAAAGCTTCCAAGCATTCCAATCCTGCTCTCCCCTTAAACTAAAAAATGCATAGGAGAACCTGTGGTTTGGGGCAGATCATGCTCTCTGTCTGTTTACAGGTTGTAAATACCACAAACCCTCTGTACCCAAAGTCATTTTGTTAGGTTTCAGGCAAACACAGCCATGACAGTGTTTTTGTAAGGGACACCAAGCAAGTAAAGATCAAACAGGGACAATAGTTTTTTTATTTTCTTTTTTTTTAGACAGAAAGCAATAAAAATTACAAGAGGTGCATGTTCCGCTGAGCAGGCTGAGAAGAATGGGAGAAAGCACAACGGGTGACAAACCAAAAGTGAAACAGGACAGACAAAACTCTGGCAAAAGAGGGACTGTGGCAAGTCAGAGCAAGAGAGCACCGTGACCCTGCTCCTTGTCTCTGATGTGTGCTGTGATCCATGCACATTTATGAGTGTGTGTTTTCATCAGAGCATGGGGACCTGCAGCTTATCTGTGATTAGTAATGCTGTGATCAGCTGCGAGTGACAGTCCTGCCTCCCAGCGGTCTCCTGTCATCTAAAACATGCCACTTTCAGCCCAGTTCAGACATGAAAGGCAAATCTTGTCATGTGGGGACTTATAGGGCAGTAGTGTGACGGCTTAGATTAATTTTCATAAACCAGGTGCCTGGTGTACATCTGGGAGACTATATGGTGTGCATTTGAACACTGTAGTCTTAAAGAAAGGATCAGGCAGATTATCTGCATGACTTCACAGTTCTATACAATGTTGAAGAACCTCAATTTGAACTTAGTGTTCTGCCTGCTTTCTCCGTCTATCTATCTTATTCCTGGGAGCTCTACTGTATAAATTATTACAGGTACAACTTCCTGTCAGACAGGACGTAGCAGTAATCATTTGTTAACCACGGTAGCGGAGCATGGACCGCGGTGCATGGACCGCGGTGCATGGACCGCGGTGCATGGACCGCGGTGCATTTGAAAGTAATTTGCATTCAGTTTATCAGATAAAACACTGTTCTATTTTGTATAGGCTTCGCCCCTTAAGAGCTGTTACTGGTGGGTCTTATCCCGTCATGCAACGCATCGCACTGAAAAGTTTAGTCCACACCCACCTGTTGTGTGGGCCCCACCCGGTCCGTATAAATTACGTTAAGAGCGGGTAATCGGTTCCCATTTTTCTTCAGCAAGCTAATAGCACTATCAGAAGAACGAAGAAGGGAAGTTGTCCAGCTTGACCGGCACAACCTTTGTTAAGGCTGCGTGGGGTCCCGCCACGCCAACCTCCTGCCGTCCCAGTGAGTTTCTCCTCCCCGAGGAGAAGCAGACGAGCAGCACAACAAGGTAAGCGCCGAGGAATATTTCTCAGTGGCAGGTCGCTACACGCTGGACGACGCCATCGACCCCTTTTTTCCTTTTATCGCCGACTCTCGGAGCAAATCGGATGGTTCCTTTGGGACAGGCGACGTCAGCAGCATCCCCCACTGCTCACTTCCTCCTGGAGAGCGTAGTGTCGGAACGAGGGGGGCTGAGCAGATGCTCACCTCCCCGGGCCTTTGTCGCATCGGCGACCACACCGCTCCCAGCCATTGGTGCCCTCCTCTCGGAGTTGCCCGACATAATCCAGGAGGCGGCTGACATGAAGGGACTTTTTCCATCCCTCTCCTTCCCCCGCCCAGATTGGATGATCTAGTGGGAAGGTTTTATGGCTCCACCCCGGCTCGCCATCCTAATCCCATGTGGCCTCATTTCCCAGCAGTGACGTCCTACGGGAACGAGGCTGCAGCTGGACCTGATAGACTGAGAGCACCGGTTTCCACATCCGCGCCCATCACCAGAGTGGAAGGGTTTTGCCGAGCGGACATTCC